AGACGTGAGTTCAGAGGCGAGAAGAAGGAAGACATACAAGCTCCCGAAGTACGAACCGCGTAAATTTAACGGCGATGTGTTGGAATGGCTTCCTTTCTGGGCTCAATTCAAGAAAATCCACGAAGACAAGGATTTAGACGACGCAGACAAATTTCAGTACCTCGTACAATGCATGGTCCCTGGGACGAGAGCGGCGGATCTAGTGACCACCTTCCCTCAATCGGGTGAGAATTATCCTAGAGCAGCGGAAGCCCTTCGAGAGCGTTTCGGTAATGAGAAGGTGCTTAAGCAGGTGTACATCCGTGAGTTAGTAAAGATGGTCATGGCTAACGGAGGGCAGCAAAATACAAGTCTTTCTAAAATGTTTGACAAACTTTCGGCGCACCTACAGGCACTCGAGACCCTGGGAGTCAGCAGCGAGCAGATGTCGACGTTTTTGTATCCGATTGTCGAGTCGACGTTGCCGGTACAAGTATTAACAGCGTGGCAACGAAGCCCGAACTGGGGCAAGGAGGGATCGGCGATGGATCCTCCCCAAACTGACTTGCAGTTACTGGTCAGTTTTCTAAAACTGGAGGTTCAGTGCGAGGATCAACGTCAGCTGGTACACGCGGGTTTCCAGATTCAGAAGAAACCTGAGAAGAAATCAAATAAGAACGTTGCTTTTCAGAATGAAGATTGTGCGACTGCTTCTGGGCTGCTTGCTGGCTCGTCAGTTAAATGCCTATTTTGTGACAAACCTCATGAGAGCCAACTTTGTGTGAAAGCAGCTTCCATGAATTTAGAGAACCGGAAGAAGATCGTGACCGAAAGGAAAGCATGCTATGTTTGTCTGAAGATGGGACATGGTTCAAGAAATTGCAAAGCTGTTGTCAAATGCGCCTTCTGTCAAAAGAAACATTGTGCGTTGCTGTGTTCGGAGGTGGAGAAAAATCGAACGACGCCCGAATCTACGCCGGAGCAGACGCCTAGTCAGACCGCGCCTTCGATGTCTAATATGCAGTGCTCAGGGGATGTTATCTTGCAAACCGTGTTTGTAAATTTGGAGAGCGCTGGTGTGCGTCGAAGGGTTCGTCTTGTGTTTGACGGCGGTTGTCACAGATCGTACTTGCGCAGCAGCACCGCGTCTGGACTCGGTTTGAAATCGATTGGAAGTCTAAACATGTGCCATATACTCTTCGGATGTTCGCGGGAAGTCAGACAACATCAGATATACCGGGTGAGTATTGAGAGCTTAGACGGGACCGTACAGACCACGTTGACTTTGTTGGACCAGGAAAGGCTCTGCGGATTGTTGCCGAGAGTTAGTAAGCAAAAGGTGATTAAAGAGCTCAAAGAAAAAAGAATACACGTGAACGACATTGGTGAGGGCTCTCCAGAAATCGAAGTCTTGATTGGAGCCGACCACTACGCCTCTATGCTGACCGGGAGAAAGGAAAACTTGAGATGTGGTCTGGTAGCGCTCGAAACTGTATTCGGTTGGACTCTGACAGGAAAGGTAAAGGAATATGAACCCAGCTGTGCGTCTCTGATGGTATGTACCTCTATGATGGCCGAGAGTAACGTAACCCTTTTGTGGGACTTAGAATTGATTGGCATTAGAGAGCCAGCTTTTCATAAGTCGCAAGCAGAAAGGGATGCGGAAGTTCAGCAACATTTTTTGAGAACCGTGAGTAAGGCCCCAGATGGAAGATATTGCGTGAGTTTGCCTTGGATTGATGAAAAGAAGCAGATTCCCGACAACTTCGACGCCGCGAACCAGAGACTTGACAACACCTTAAGAAGATTGAAGTCGATGGATAAGGTTAGCCAGTATGACAAAATATTCCAGGAGTGGATCGCGGAGGGGATAGTTGAAGAGGTTCCGGTTGAAGATCGTAGCAACCCAGGATATTACCTACCCCACCGGCCAGTGATAAAGCCTGAGAGTTTGACAACGCCAATGCGGCCCGTTTTCGACGCTTCTTGCAAGAATGGGCGTGCGCCGTCCTTGAACGAGTGCCTGACTAAGGGACCTAACTTGATTGAACTTCTACCATCGGTCTTGAATCGATTTCGTTGCGGCAACATTGGTGTTTCTGCGGATATACGTAAGGCATTTCTTATGATCGAGGTGAGCGCGGCGGACCGAGACTTTCTCCGGTTTCTATGGTGGGAGGGAGGACGCGAAGATAGATTGCTGGTGCTACGACACAAACGAGTTGTATTCGGCGTCAATTGTAGTCCTTTCCTGCTCGCCGCTGTAATCCAATTTCATCTGTCTAATGTAGGATTGGAAGATAGGGAGATGGCGGACAAATTATTGAAGGCTATGTATGTAGATAACGCACTGACGGCTGTTAACTCCGCGGAGGAATTAAGGCGCTTCAAAGAAGATGCTACTCGCATGCTGGCAGGGGCAAAGATGGAGCTACGACAGTGGGCCTGGACGGCTGGAGAATGCAGCGGTGAAGGAACCTTAGTGCCGACAAACGACGGGGACTTGTCCAGCGTGCCTGGTGAAAGAAGGAAGGACCAAATAACCCCAGTACTTGGTATGATGTGGGACCGGGAAGAAGATGAGCTGTGGATGGACTGGAAGGAACACAAAGCTCTTAGTGCAATCACTAAACGTACTATTTTGTCGGCCGTCAGCCAGGTATATGATCCAATCGGGTTTTTGTGCCCTGTCCTCTTAGGGCCCAAGAAAATGTTACAGCGTGCATGGCTTGCGAAGAAATCCTGGGACGAAATTTTAGAGGAGGAGCTGACTTCTGAGTTTAAGGCTTGGTACGAGGAGTTGAGCTATCTCTCTACTATTCGAATTCCTCGCAACGTCACTGGAGGAAGTATCTATCGTGAAGACTGGCAACTACATGTGTTTTCCGATGCCAGTCAGGATGCTTATGCGGCGGTCATTTACTTGCGGACCCAGAAGTCTTGTGATGTTTCGGTGCAGCTGCTTCAGGCCAGGGCTAGGGTGGCTCCAATCAGGAAGGTCTCCGTGGCGCGACTTGAGCTATTTGGGTGTGTAATTGCTGTCAGATTGGCTGCTAGTGTGAAGATGTCGTTGGAACTCGAGGGCGTGCCTACTTTCTACTGGACTGATTCCACCTGTGCTTTGGCGTGGATTCGACGCAATGATCAATGGGGTACGCTTGTCGGTAACCGAGTAAGGGAGATCTTGTCCTGCTCGGATGTCAAGAATTGGCGCCATGTGCCGGGGAATCGCAACCCTGCGGATTTGCCGTCACGAGGGTGCACGGCGAAGCAGCTT